ACAACTGTCATTATACATTCGAAATCAAGGAGTGACTGTAGAAGTAGCAAAAAGCGACATTTGCACCCAAACCTAACCACTCTCCATACACACTCATTGGCCCCCATCCCTACACTATTAGAAACAGAAAAAAATAAAAATCTAATTCTGACAAGCCCCATCCTATGGTATCGATGGGTAGAAAACACCAAAGCATATAACCATAACAATTTGAATCATCAACATAATTACAGACGCAGAAAATCAACACAACGTATGTTTAATCAAATGGTTGGTCTTTATCTGGATACAATGAAAATGTCATCAAATAGCTACAACTACGCGATGGAGTAATTACAGTATCTTTTTCATAACAAGATTACAAAATATGATTCAATCATGAATTAATTAAATTGTTATCCTGAATTATCTTTCTATACAGTATAACAAGATAAGAAGATAAAAAGATAACAAAATGGTTTACACTCAAGAGCTTTATCAGAAGAACAAGGAATCAATAATCGCAGCAAAGAAGCGCTACTATCAAAAGAACCGAGAGAAAATCCTACGGAAGCAAAAAGAGTATGATCAAACACATCGAGAAGAAAGGAAACAGAAATATTTAGCTAAAAAACTAATCAACCAAACTACTGACTAATAATAATTTTTTTTTGCTTGCAAACAATGTTAATCACAATATATACAAAGACATTGTCATCTTGAATTACGTTTTACTTAGTATATAAACATTTTCAAAATGCCAGTCTCAAATAATCTAAAGAAGGCTCAAAAGACCCGCAGCGATCCCTATAAGTTCGCTAAGACCTACAACCTCGATGTTAATTGGAAAATGACAACCTCCAATATGGAGAAGGTTGTCAATACATTCAAACAAACCAAAGTAAAAACAATTGTGAAGACACTCCGTAAGGTTAAGCTAAACAATGACACAGCTAGCCTAAAAGCTATTAATAAAACAACAGGTAAAGTTGAAATGCAATTGAATTGTTTCGAGCGTATCCGCAAAGACATTGTCGCTC